GTACGTTGCCATGCTGCCTCTGGTCAGGAAGGCGACAAATGAGGATTCCATCCAATTCTGGTTCGCTGATGATGCCTCGGCAACGGGAAAACTCGCAAGGATGCGTGGTGGGATGTTCTTGTTGGGGATGGCCCTAAATATGGATATTTCCTGAATCCTGCAAAATCAGTGCTGGTTGTCAAGGAGCGATGCATGGAGGAGGCCAAGTCTCTCTTCCAGGGTACTGATATATCAATAACATGTGAAGGGTCCCGATACTTAGGGGCTGCGATAGGGACCTCCCAATTCTGCCAGGACTATGTTAACAACAAAGTTCGCCAGTGGACCGATGAAGTTTTGCGACTGGCCGAGATTGCTCGGAGTCAGCCCCAGGCAGCATATTCCGCTTTGTGCCAAGCCATACGAAGCAAATGGTCTTTTGTATGCCGGACGATGGAGGTCTCCGAGCATGCATTGGAGCCACTGGAAAAGGCCATCCACCACAAGCTGATCGGCCATCACTGGCCGCTCCTCACCAAATGACTCCATGAGACGCCTTTTTGCATTGCCTTGTCGGCTGGGTGGTCTCGCGATAGTGCAGCCTTCAACTCTAATACGTCAGTATGACACGTCCAGGTTTATCAGAATTATCATTACTCCCATTGTGCAACTAATCAAGGGAGGCATCCACGCCCTCGGAGATGCGTTGGATGTTGTCCGGAAGAGGAAGAACCAATCGAGGTCATCCAATCGAAGAGGCCAGTCGGATGCGCTGTCGTCTTTTATCGTGGACTCTTCTCCAGCGTTTGTTCGAACAATTGACCTGGCAAGGGAGAGGGGAGATTCCAGTTGGCTGACCTGTAAGCCGTTACGTCGCTATGGGTTCAACCTAACGAAAGGTGAATTCAGAGATGAACTTTGCTTACGGTATGGCTGGACACCCCAGCGGCTGCCGTCATCATGTGTATGTGGGGTGACCACCTCTGTGAGCCATCTCTTAACATGCCCAGTTGGCGGTTTTCCATCGATAAGACACAAGGAGATTAGAGACGTAACGGCTTCACTTTTGAAGATCATATGCAATAATGTGGCCATTGAGCCAAGTTAGTTTACAGCCATTAACCGGAGAGCGACTTCGCTACGGCACGGCTATCACCGACGACCAGGCACGTCTCGATATCGGTGTCAGTGGATAATCCGATTGTGGAGCAGTCGTTTCGAGCGCACACTCATTGATGTACGGGTGTTTAACCCTCATGCTGCCTCGAACCGCGCTTCACCACTGGCCACTGTCTATCACCGACATGAACAGGAAAAACGAAGAAAGTATGAGGAGCGGGTCCGGAATGTCGGAAATGCGTCGTTTGCCCCAGTGGTCATGACGGCGTCAGGTGGTTTTGGGCGTTCGGCAACCAGCCTGTATAAGAGAATCGCATCGCTGCTGGCTGACAGACGTAATCATGGAACCATATTCACATGTCATGGCATTTGTCAGGTGCCGCATTTCCTTTGCCCTCCTAAGGTCATGTGTAGTGGGCCTTGGAGGGTCTAGAACATTATTAAAAATTTGGAAAATATCAACAAAGTATTGATCAACAACGGTGGATTACGCCGACTCTCAGAAGTGAGATCAAGAAGAAGCACTCTCTATTCAGAACGTATCTATCGACTCGCTCTACTGAATCATGGAGAGCCTACACTGCACAACGTAACAGTGTCACGGCCAAGCTGCGGTCCGCGAAGTCTGACTATGTGCACGGATACCTAGTAAGAGAGGACACAGTGGATGAGCACGGTGTGGCGTTCAATCGCCGCAACTTGTACAATGTGATGTCCCTCCTTAGAACCTCAGTACAGCGTGGCGTTCCCGACTTGGAATGTGATGGGAACACCATTAGCTCTGACCTTGACAAGGCTACAACCTTCAACAACTTCTTCGTTCAGCAGAGCAGGCGGTCACTCCATGGGTGCACTGGCCCTCCTCCTCCCATCCACACGCCGAGGGTTACTTACAGGACACTCCAGGATGTCACCGCCACTGAAGTGGAGGTACTCGAGCTCCTTCGTCACATTGACACCAACAAAAGCGCCGGCCCGGACGGAATCCCGTCTATTCTTCTGAAGCTCACTGCCGACCGCATCACCCCTTCCTTAACAATAATTTTCAATCACTCCTTCACCCACGGACAAGTCCCGAGAGACTGGCGAGATGCCATGGTGTCTCCAATCTTCAAGAAGGGCAGTCGAGCCTGTCCCACAAACTATCGTCCTATCTCCCTCCTACCCGTCGTATCAAAACTGCAAGAAAGAATCGCCCACAAAGCTCTCTACAGGTACATCAAACCCCATCTCCCTCCAGAACAGTCAGGCTTCAGGAAGAACGACAGCACCGAGTACCAAATAAGCCGCCTGCTGCACGAACTTGCTGCGGACCTTGAGGTCAAGAAGTCAGTCCACGTCTGCTTCTTTGACCTCTCTAAGGCCTTCGACCGCGTGTGGCACCGTGACCTCTTGCACAAGCTTGAACACCATGGCTTAAGGAGTGCAGCACTCCGCTGGTTTGAGAGCTACCTCCTGGGCCGGAGGCAGCGGGTCCGAATCGGAAGCACAGCCTCCGACTGGCTTGACATCCCTGCAGGAGTCCCTCAGGGATTGGTACTCGGCCCGCTGCTATTCCTCGTATACACGATGGACCTACCAGCAGCTTGCAACTCCCAAGCCACACGAAGCAGCCTCTTCGCCGACGACACCGCCTTAATCGCTAGCGACCACTCAGCAGCGGCAGCAGAGCGAGCGATCCAGTCCAGTGTGACTAAAGCCGCTACGTGGCTCGACACCTGGCACCTGACCGTCAACGAAACGAAGACGGTCGTGATGACACTGTGCGTTGCTTTCCCCCTGACAATAACGTTGAAAGGCAAAACACTGAACAGAGTCCAGAGCCAGCGACACCTGGGTATCATCGTTCAGGCCGACCTGAAGTGGAATGCCCACATCCAGCACATCGAGAGCAAAGTACGTTGCGCGCACTCTGCACCTCTTGAGACGGATTCGTGGACGTCTTTCACCCACCGCCCTGTCAGCACTGTACACCACGTATATACGCCGGGCCCCGTTATCGAATATGGTTCTCTGGCTATGTCAGCTATGAATGTTCAGCAACAAGATGCCCTCGAACGTCTCCAACGGCGGTCAGCAAAACTCTGCCTCCGACTCCCCCTCTTCAGTCCTTGCCACCACAGTTCGTTACTCCACCACGTCACTTGGCCTACCCTCTCATTCCGCAGGAAGCTCAAGCTGACAAGCAGCTACTCTTTGCACACACCATCGCTGTCAAACGATCCCCGCCACACATCCAGCTTGCGACCTCAGGCTACATCACTGAGCCACCAAGCCGAGAATTGAGGCGTCATCGAGTCTTTGCCCTCCCCACCACCCACTCCACCCGCCTTCAACGTTCACCCTTGTACTCAGCATGCACTCAGTACAACCACCTGCCACCACACTGTTACTCCCTCCGAGAAATAAATGCATTCAAAAGAGAAGTTACCCCGATCATAGTATCATCTATTTGCACATGCTCCAACCCCCGCTGTAGCCCAGCCTAGGTATAGTATTTTAATCAAGGTAGTAGTAGTAGTAGTAGTAGTAGTAGTAGTAGTAGTAGTAGTAGTAGTAGTAGTAGTAGTAGTAGTAGTAGTAGTAGTAGTAGTAGTAGTAGTAGTAGTAGTAGTAGTAGTAGCACGCCACAATGAGATCCGGGACTTGTTGGCTGACGTGATGCGTGAGGCGGTCCGGGATGTGGAGGTGGAACCGCCTCTACTACCATATGATGGTGAGCGGCTCCAAGGGAGGACAGCCAACCGCTCGGCAGGTGCCCGCCTGGACATCCGGGCTTGTGGCTTCTGGACGAGACAGCAAGATGCCTTTTTCGACATCCGGGTTACACACCCAAAGGCAAGCTTGCTGTCGCGTCAGGAAGTCATCAGCCAGCTCCGAACGCATGAACGGATGAAGAAGCGCCAGTACGGAGAGCGGGTGACAGCAGTTGACAGAGGTACGTTTACACCGCTAGTTTTTTCTACCTCGGGCATGATTGGCAGAGAATGCTCAATGGCACTGAAGACACTGGCATGCCTGATTGCTGAGAAGAACGTCGACCTACACGTATCGGTTATCATGGGTCAGCTCCGTTGTAAGCTGTCAGTCTGCCTTATGCGATGGGCAGTCACCTGTTTGCGGGGTTCAAGATCGTCATACCGCCGCAACAGGATGAATTTCACGACGATGTGCAGGTTGCGGGCAGCCTGAGCGTGATAGTACCTGACAGACATTTGCCCAACATTGCCCCATGATAATGAATTCTTGAGTTTTTGGACATTGTATTGCATTGCTGCTCCATCTACATGGCTGTATTTGTGTTTCACATCTCCATTTCAAGTTTCCTAATAAAGATTGTGTCAAGTAGTAGTAGTAGTAGTAGTAGTAGTAGTAGTAGTAGTAGTAGTATTTATTATTTGACTAGGGGAGTATATCGCCTACCTGCCCTCGCAATGGACATACATGTACTAGTGTACTTCCCTCCAAGTCTTTACTTTAATGAAGCACCCAAACCACGGCTGCCACTAGCCACTGTTTCTCCCGGTTTATTGCAACCCACTCTGATTGATAACACATAGTACTGTCTCTCTCTTATTGGCTACGGCCACCGTGAGAATAAAGATAATAATAATAATAAATAAAACAAGAGCCTCCCCGGCGCCACGCTGGCGGTGTCAGAAGCAGCTATTGCTGTCAAGTTAGTATTTCTGTTTAGGGCTTTTATTTGCTATTTTGTGCAGGCGTTGTGGCCGGATTCCTCAAAAAAACCAAAACAAAAAACAAAAAACGTATCCATGCCCTGCACACGTGCTTGCCACGTGTACGTAGACCTACGTGTACGTGTGTAGATCTACTGACTACATGGTATACCTGTATACTGTCTGTGCATGGGTGTGGAAAATACAATGAAGCCTGGCTACACGTAGATCTACTATTAGAGCTGAAAATAAATTACTGCCTTTGGTTCGGATTGTCCTCCTTGTCTGTTGCTGTTCAGGCTCCTGTGAAGGTCTACGTGGATTAGATGACCGTCCTCATGTATATATCTTTCTTGCCAACCGGCAATGGAGCTAGTTTGCTGTTGGGTCTGTCGAGGAGAAGGAGGACATCAGGCAGTGAACGATAAATATTTTTCTGAAAATTTCGAATTCATTGCAGACTTTTCAATAGAGTTTATTACACTAGCATCTACAGCGGCATACAACAATGGAGAGTGACGGGGAGAATGAGCAAACTGTGCCTTTCGCTCCTGATGAATGTAGTAATGACAACCGGAGTGTTACCTCTATTCATCAGACTTGTTCTGAGGACTTTCGTGATGGCGACCTGAATGCCACAAAAGCTTTCTATGGCATCGTGTTGGCCGCAATGGCATTCCTTTTACCGTTCTTACCAGTTTTCTACAAGATGAACGGTATTACAGCGTCGGAAAACGGTCTCCTTGGTGGCCTACGTCCCTTAGTGAATTTCTGGAGCGGTCCCCTATTAAGTGGGCTGGCTGACAAACTGCAGCGTCGCAGACTTATTCTCTTCATCAGCGCTATCCTCTATGCCATGATCACGTTCAGTATATGGTTCGTACCAGCGGACGAGCAAGTGGGTTGCGGTGCCTCGGCACACTGTGTACTTGATGGCGTACCACCCATCACCGGGGGCAACACCACGATAGCCACGGCCAGCTCCACAACATCGTTGCCATGGAAACACTCAGCTATGACCAGACTTTCGTTATCCACTGCGATATCACCAGGCCAATCAACTGAGTCACCAGATGCTAACGCCACATCATCCCCCATCCCGATCGAACAGGGCTCCTCTGGAAGCCATGCTAGAACCCTGGCATATTTTGTTGTGATGATATTTTTCAGTGAACTGGTGGGCGCCCCAGTGCTCCCCTTGACAGATACGATTGTCCTGGAGACTCTCGGCCACCAGCGCATTTCACAGTTTGGTCGCCAGCGCCTGTGGGGAGCCGTGGGTTTTGGAATCGCTAATGCCGCGGCTGGCTTTGGATCAAGCTCATTGGCCGACTCCTGCGGCCGGGGCAATTATACTGTTCACTTTGTTGGTTTTGCCGTCCTGTATGTCATCTCGTTAGGGGCTGCACTGAAGCTGAAGGATACTTACCATCCGCTGAGCGCTAAGACTACGGCAGCTACGACAGTACAAACGAGAATCCGAATCGGCCGAGGTTTGCGCTTGGCTCTGTGCAACGCCCGCGCAATCTGCTTTCTTGTCGCTGTGTTCTTCTTAGCCATTGCGATGTCCATCGTTGACAACTTTCTATTCTGGTTCCTAACAGAGCTGTGTGCATCCGAACTGCTCCTTGGTCTCTCTGTTCTGACCATGTGCATGTCAGAAATCCCGCTGTTTCTTATCGCCGGCCCAGTGATCAAGCGCTTTGGCCACACGATGGTGCTGGTGTTTGTGCTGATGTGCTACGCCATTCGATTCCTGGGCTACTCGCTGCTGCAGAACCCCTGGCTGGTCATGCCGATAGAACCGCTACACGGTGTATGCTTTGCACTGATGTGGTCCTGCTGTGTGTCCTACTGCAAGAAAATAGCGCCGCCAAATTTGGAAGCTACTCTGCAGGGTGTGCTAAATGGCATGTTTAGGGGCGTGGGCCGCGGGACGGGGGCCGTGCTTGGTGGTTTCGTGTACCATCACTTCGGTGCCCGTTGGCTGTTCCGTTCCTGCGCAATCATGTGCTGCATTGTGGCAGCGCTGTACCTAGTGTCGGAGAGAATCATTTGCCAGTACGAGCGGCGACACGGCACGTTGATTTCCGGTACGGCGAAGCTCGTCGACGGCATTGAGCTCAATGAACATGGCATCGTAACGTTGGACGACGACAACGAATGTGAGCTGAGTAACGGTGCGCCTGTCATTAGCTACCGTTCAGACAGCACCCATGTTAACGGTAGAGTGCATGATGGTATAGGTGACTTCACACTGGTATCGTCCAATCCTGACAAGGCTCTCGATATCGCCACCGCTGAGAATGATGAATTTGAACAAGATGGAGACATTGAAACTGCGCTGCTCTAGGTGACCCTAATAACATAATCATGCTCATGAATACTAGTCCTATTTATATTTTTAAATTTTACTCTGCTCTATGTCCGTTGCTCACTGGGCTTTCTGAGCCTGAGACTTGACAAAATACAAATTCATGTTCTGCTCAAGACTTAGAAACCACCCACGTGTGCTGGTACCCCTCTCACGTTGACTGGATAGGCAATCTTATACTCAACGAATCCCGGCCAGTTGATTATAATTCGGTACGTATCTATTTAATTTACCTTTGCCCATCCAGCTGGTCTGGCTTTAGACACTTGACTCTTGTCCTGCCTCCTTTTTTATGCTATGATCCATCAACCAGGTGATTGTCTTATTCAAACCCACCTAACTTTGTGCTATTACAACCAGTGGAGATGCTTTGAATGGCAAAGCTACCACGCAGCGATGCACTGGTGCTGGTTTGTGGCACCGCTCTTCTTTACTCCACTCAATACTTCGCATCTGCTATACTTCATCCGTTCTAATCGAACCTGGTGACTCACCCAATGACATCATTCGCATAACACTGATGTTCTGTGAGTTGTTCTGAATCCGGCACCTGAAGACTACATGTACCAGATACTTATACTAACTTAGTGGCCCCACACGGCCCCTACATGCAGTGTTTTATTATTGGAATTTATTGTTTATTATTTATTATTCTTTTACTAGGGAATTCCCAACAGGCGTCAGCGCCTTTTTACAGGGAACCCTAGATATAATTTGATGGATGAGCGAAATTCAGCTAGTGAACTAGACATGCGGCAAGCCGGTGGAAGTGTATTCCACCTGGCAGCGCCCAAAATAAAACGAAATTGAACTGAATCCATACCGGGTGTTAGGGGGGGGGGGGGGGGGGCAGAACAAGAGCAGCGGAGACTTGGCCACGGGTGGTGGCTGCAGTGTGGGCAAAGTTTTCAGGCGTGTGACTGTCCATTAGCAGGGTCTGGTGCTTGCTGTTTTTTCACAGAGCCGCACTATTTGTGCAAACCGGGTTTGCACAAATAGTGTAGCGATTTTGCCAAAGCAATTGAAAGCATTCCAACTGAACACGTACAGTAATTGAAGAACCTATAAGCCACATTTACGTCTTTGTTAGAGTGATAGTTGACACTCGGTGCGAAGGATATTGCAACCGTTAAATGATATGGATGATACGGATGACCTTGCCGGTTTGTTTTCCATACCTGTATTATGAATTTATAAATATGGCTGGAATGCGGATGGCGGGCCCCATCATTGATTTCTGGCCTGTAGCACGTGTTTTGTTTTAAACAAAGCTGCAGCCGTGACATCAATCGTGTACAGGACGCCTGTTCTCCATACCAGCCAGCACTTCATTGGCCGCTGCAAGTAACGTTACTAGCACCATACAGGTACAGTGAACATGCAAGCCTTGGCTACAAATCGGATCAAATCCACCATGCACATACATACACACACACACACACTCGCACACACACACACAGCACGCAAACATGTGCACGAGCAGGAAGCGATTTTTCAGATTGCTTTATCAAATGCACGTCATTCCCAAGCAGGTTTGGTTTGTGACTGAGAATTTTCTCTCCAATTTAATCATAGAGCAGGATTGGAGCGTGTGGAGCTCAACAAATAAATGTCAACGCAGCGAAAAAATTTACAAAATATTCAAATCAAGACTAAAAATTAATTATAACTGTACACTCGGACGTCTCTTATCCGGGCACCTTGGGACCGGGCACTGCCCGTATCTCAGGATAACTCACCTACCATGTACCGTATCATTTTTTGAAGAAGATTATTTGGAATGTATTGCACATGTTCAGGATACAAAAGGAACCCATTGGTAAAATGTGTGGATTACATAGGTTGGCAGTGAAAAATAAGCACTTCCACATACGGAAAAAAGTTCAAAAACCCCAAATTCGAAGCATTTGTGCTATAGGAACTCAAGCTGAAGGTGCCCGGTAGAGAGACGTGCCCGTATCTGAGGCGTCCGGCTAAGAGGCGTTTGAGTGTACACCCGCCAAACAGCACAGCTATGTCGAGGCAGCCGTAGCTGCTGCTGCTCGTGACTAGACTACAGGCTAAATGGTTTGCGCACTCTGTACAACTCGCCTGGTTATCTCGCGTGCTAGAGCTGGTACAAGAGATCGGTGCAAAGCCTGCAAAAGTTACAAAAAGTCACCCAGCGACCACCACATTCACTGCATCACTCAGAGATCTAGAGAGTAGGTAGGAGTGCCTCAACTCTCCAGAGATCAAATTACCTAAGCACGGCCCAAGCACGGCCTAAGCACGGCCTAAGCACGGCTGACACAACGCGACCAGGATAGATAGCACGGCGTAGATCAATATTGCCATGAGAATAATACTGTCAGATCAAGCTGATCTAAATCTGCAGACTGCGTCTAAGAGTATCCTGCTAATACCAGGCCAGCTGATAAGGACTGCAGAGCAGCTGAAGAACTCAATCAACACCCAGAGACTCTAGGCTAGTCTAGCAAGCATGGCACCGCCACAGACCCTAGCGAGCATGGCACAGGGACATGCTCCCCACCGATCTTCGGACTAGCACACAACTGAACAAGCTGCCAGTAAAATAGCCGCACGGGTGCACACGAGTGAGTGCACACACAAGGACACACACACACACACACACACACACACACACACTCACAAAACACACATATCCACACCGTTATGAGAAGCGTCGTCTGCTGTGTGCGCGTTGCGTATTGCGACGGTAGGAGTCGTGAGAGTGACGGCCACATCAGCTTGCGTGTTTAACCCGGTGCGGTAGCGTTGCCGACTATCATAAAGTATGTTAGTAGTGCCTCACTTGAGGCGGCAGCACGGTGGGATGTAGTGGCCACGTCGTGACGGCGGGTAACCGGTACTAACAGTACTGGTACTGTTGGTACCCAGAGCAGCACGGCAACACCTCGTACTGCTAACTTGTGACGGCGGTGCAGAGCAGCACGGCAACACCTCGTACTGCTAACTTGTGACGGCGGTGCAGAGCAGCACGGAAACACCTCGTACTGCTAACTTGTGACGGCGGTGGGGAGGCAGTCGCGATGCAGCTGCTCCACACGAGTCCGAGTCCACTACTTGAGGCGCAGCTGCTGCATCAGCTCGTTTGTGTACGCCTTGTACGACCACTGGTCGCCAGCCAGTCTCTGGAAGCGCAGGCTCAGCATATTCCTGAGGCCCGGGAGTTGGCAGATCTCTATATCGAACTGCACTACCGCCGCAGCCTGTCCACTGTCAAACACGCTAACGGTGAACACATAGTCTGTTTGCTCATACTTTAGGCATGGGTACTGGTCCAGAACACGGCAGATCTCCTGCAGCACGGCCTGGATCGGCAAGCTGGAAATCAGCATCGGAGACATCGCAAAGCGAGCCTCGCGTGGAGCCCGTGCATCATCGCCAGCTGCTGCTGCTGCGGCGTCCGTAGGGTCCACCACGTCTCCCAAACTACAACCCTCACCGGCAGCAGCAGCAGCAGAGCTTGTGTCAACGCCGACGACGTTGGGTACGGCCGCAAGGGTCTGAACCTGCTGCGCTGACAGCATGTTGATCGCCATGGGGCCAATTCCGGCTGACTGCGCGTGAGAGGAGCGCCGTCCGGAACGATGCCTCTGGTGAAAGACTCCGCCGGCAGCGTTCGCCACCGCCATATGAGCTCCCGGTAGGGTGACCCGCGGGTCCAGGCTGTTGCGGCGCAGCTGGTGATTGGGCATGGCACGGCCCATCATATCGGGAGACAGATGGGCTTGGTGGTTCTCCCTGAGTGCTGCTGCCGCTGCGTTAGGGAAAATCCCTAGAGGACCGTGCGCTGACGATGAGGTTGTCATGCCCGGGTCGGGCGCGGACACCAAGCGACTAATCGCTTCGTGCTGATATCCAGCGGGTGGGAGGTGGAAGGTCTGTGCGGCCGGAGAGGATTCCGTAGCATGCAACGGCATGTGACTTGCCATATCGGTCGAATCCTCCGGGCTTGGCGACTGGATCGTTTGCAGTTGACTGACGTGATGTCGACCGGCACCAGCAACGTACAGCTGAGGCGGTGCACGGTGGTTGTTGCCGGATGAACCACCACCGCCGCCGCCAGAGGATTGTGGCTGATACTGCTGAGAGGCTTCGCTGCTGCCATCGCCTTGCACATGCAGGTTATCAATTTCCTGTGCAAGCACACTTACATTAGATTGATTAAACATCTCAGCTCCGTGCAGTGTGAGCGGCCCAAAGCTGCCGCTCGACGCCTGCAGGTGGCCGGAGCCAGTCTCCAAGGTGTCGTGCCGATGCTGTTGCTGGCTCATGGCGTAGTCTTGAAGAGCATGCGTGTCGGAGCGTCTCCGTCCCAGTGGTGGACGCACATGAGACACGGGCAGCACAGCTGGGCCGCCGCTCAGCTTCTGCCGCACCTGCGGATGCAGGCCTCGCGGCGTCCTGTGTATGTGAGCCTGCACAAGGTTGGTCGGTGGAGCGGCGCTTTGCTGCTGCTGCTGCGTGAGGTTTGCCGCCAGTAGGGGTGCCATTGTCACAGGAGTAGCAACAGCACCTAGAGCTAGATGTGGTGCAGCAGATCCTTGCAGTGCACTGGCCTGCGACGCAAGCGCCTGCTGAATGCCTTGCGGTGCTAACGTGTGACGCCGTTGAGCCAGGTAGGCATGGAGCGTGTCGCGTGACGCCAGCTCCTGGCTGATGTTACGACCGACCGGAGGGTGTGCTGTGATCGGTGCACCCTGCGCCGGAGATGATAACGTGGCCGTGACCACCATGCCATTGCGGTGCATGCCTGGCCCCGGGATACCAGAGGCCGCCGCTGCCGCCTGCTGCTGCAAGCGCTGATGCAGCGTGCTTCTCTGGTCGAGAGAGTGCGTGTGCGTCACGCCGCCTCGGTTCGCCGCGTGCGAGGCGGCCACGGCGTGACGGCGGACGAGCGGTTGATGGGTGGGGATGGTCACATTGGGCGGACCTGCTGCTGCTGCTGCTGCTGCTGCTGAAACCTCTTCCACATCCGGTGCCTGCGCACGGTTTTTCTCCTGTTTCAGACGAATACGGTCGTCCAGTATGTGGTAAATGCCAGCGTGATCGTCAAATTTATTCTTCTCCAGACTCTATAGGAAAGGAGAGAAACAAAACAAAAACACACACATACACATACATACAATTAAAACTGAGAGGACCATAACTACACACATGCCATGGTCCGCAAAGTTAAAAGCCAAGCCAGTATGATGTGCTCAGCTAACGCAGGCGACGCACACAGAGGCTGGACTGGGTCCGGGACTATGGCAATCACCATGTGGAAAGAATAACTGTGACCAAGTGCTAACTAACCAGAATATGCCTAGAGACGTGGCTCCATCAGCATGCCACCGCCTTTACCAAGCAAACACTTTAGAATCGGATCTTAACCCTTTAAGAGCCACAGGAAATTTTCAAAAATCTGCATTTTTTCATGTTCCTCGGATCATAGCTTCAGTTCTACTCACTCAATCCTCACAATCTAGGGCTTCCTGGAACGGTCTCCGCGAGAGGAAGAGAATGAGGTCGATCATGATAGCCAGCACACCGTCTATCCAGCGCTAGATCGCAGCGACAGTACGAAAAATGCCCCAAATGCGTCCAATTGCGTCCCGCTCCAGATATTTCATTCTACTCGATCGTGGAGTTCCAATTTTTTTGCTGTGTACTCTTGACAATATCAACAGTGAAACCCGTGCAAATTCGAGTAAACCAGCGTGACGAAAAGTCTCAAAAATCTCAATACTAAAGTTGCACTGCGCGCTTTTGAAATTGCCGCGATCGCGGCTCAACTTACGAGTGATTTATCTCGGGAACCGTTGCTCGCAGCGCTTCGCGGATTGTTTCTCCCGACAGGTGAGAGTTTTCTCTTCGCCCTGGATATTTCGATCGATGGATTTGAGCGAGATTAGACTGAGTTACGATCTTTTGAAGTTTTGCATTTGAATGCGTCGTTTACGACGCATTCAAGTATGGGGCGGCTCTTAAAGGGTTAAGTCAAAATCACTACAGGCACTGGGTATTATGATGATACTCAGCCCGCAAGCACAAGCAGACCTGGTCTAAACTGCTGAACACTGTGCTAGGGGTGCGAGACGAGCTTGATTATGAGGTGTGAATAATGACCCATTTAAGTCCCAACTTCTGCTCTGCACCGCATCATCATCTTCCCCGTCCAGCCCAGTTCCCTGTCAAACATAGCATGTGGATAGTTCTCTGCTCTACATACAAGGGTAAGTGTGGCATCCCGAGACCTTGTCACTGGCTAGAAAACAGTTTCCCACTTTGCAAGGGGCCCAGGAAACAACACCCGACTGTTCATGTATAGAAGACCGCCCAGGCCTCACCACCACCACTGCCGTGTCTGTGCTGCCTTCTCGTGTCTGTGCTGCCTTCTCTATTATATACACACCATGTACACTGTTTATGTGCACATTCACATGCCTGAAGGTTTGTGGTTTTCAATAAAAAATTAAAAAAACGAAGACCATCAATCTTACGTCGAGGAGTTGGTCTTCGATGATTTTACAGTCCAGTACCATGTAGTTGATGATCAAGCTGTTGTACTTCGGTCGCTGACCATTGCCATTTGCACAGCTACCGGCATGCCACCGCATCGAAAAAGTAACAAAGGCACAATACACATACAGGCACAAACACACCCACCCACACACACACACACACCCACCCACACCCACCCACACACACACACACACACACACACACACACACACACACACACACGTGAAGACGACAATGAGACGAATGAGTATGGAGCAAGCGGATAAAATAAGCCGGGAGGGTTGCGGTAAGACCCAATCCCCCACCAGGAGCACCACACACCATGCAATTTTGAAGAAACAGGGCATAATATTCATAGCCACTGTTTCCTGTGTTTATTATCATTGCGTGACTGTCTGACATGCCCATGCGAGCAGCACATGCCCCAATGGTGTGCAAGTGCACCATACTGTAGTTTAGTCAACAAAGAGCCATTATCTGCACCTGCAGACACGAAGTACACACTCCATCACAGCAACATTGGGTGCAGAGAAGAAAGAGGACTCTGCTGCGGGCTAGTGAACTTCAAGTTTTTCCCAAAATCCAGCCCCTATGTTCTTACAGTACCCTTCTACAGGGCCGGCCAAAGAAATCCAACCTCATGAATAAAATAGCGTCGGGCGCTACGCAGCCCTAGCACTAAAAAAACACTGTTCTATGCACTCCAACGCGGTGCTACTTTATTCACTAGGTTGGATTTCTCTGACCAGCACTGCAGACTCTCACTGTTGATGTGCACCATGCCGTGCACAGTATTGTAACAAAAACACAGGTATCTCCCACATCATAGTTCCAGCTCAGCAGTTTCGCACTTTATTTTATTTTATTTTTTTACTATGTTCACATTCCCAGCTCTTTAGCAGCATGTTCATTGGCAGGCCATCATGTTTTTTTTATCATAGCATAGGAGCTGTGGCATCATTCATTATACTTAGCAAGAAGGCATCGATGCCTGGTGAGTAAAATGAAGATAAATTTATAGAAAATAAAAGGACCAAGGAACTACAAGTTCCACCACCAGCTACTGAACAATCAGCTCTTGCGATAAAATTCCACGGCACGACACTTGTAGAAAATCAGTGCCGTCGGTCAGTGCCGTGCCATGTTATCGCATGAGCTGATTCTTCAGTAACTGGCGGTGTTAGTGGATATTATAGCGTAACTTGTATTTCCTTGGTCCTTTTATTTTCTATAAATTTACCCTTGGCTCTCCATCTGAGTCCAAAATGAAGATAACATAATAATCAAATAGAACATGATCAAGCACTTAGTGCATACCCATTGTCCGCGGCGTCGGGACTTTCCCGCGCTGGCTTCATCCATTCGTGCATCAAGACTTCACGGATGTTAGGCCGCTTCTTGGGGTCCCGCTTCAGCATCGAGCGGACCAGTTGTTCACAAGCTGTCGGCCCAGAAGGCAGAGAACACATGGACGGTGACTATCGGAGAAAACAGCAAATGGCGTGCTCCTGGTAGTCGAAATGCTGTCCTAACCATGGGTTGCCCGTTCAACTGAACTTTTCGTGAGGGTCAAGGGACATGCTGAGCACGCGTGATCACATCTACACGTGAGTTCTGCAAGGTCGGTGCTAGTACACTGGTCAGTGCAGCAGCCATACTGCTTATATCCATGTACAGGTAGGCTCGACTAACGAAATCCAACCTGATGAAAATGCTCAAGTCCTGGACACGCACACAGTTCAGTGCTTTCAGGCCAGTGACAACAATGTGCCCGATACTGGGTTACACACAAAGCTGGATTTCATCAACCAACACTTTATGTATTCATAGTTCAGGAGTACGTTGGTCAGCTAGAGAAATACACAGCATAGCGCTGTCTATCTAAGAGTGCGTCGGTGAACAATTACCCATACAGCATTCTAACAGAAAAAAAAAGAAAACGTAGTGCATTGCCTGGTAGCGGTACATAACAAGATGCTGTTCGAACGACTGCCAGTACACTTGGGCAGCTGGCCATCCTCAGAGATACCAGCGATGAATACGTGAACTTACACATGGTCATGAAGTAGGGGATCCTAAACGTCCCCTGCATGACACGCTGCTTCAGCTGCGTGATGTTGTCTCCCTCAAAGGGTAAAACACCACACACGAGCACGTAGAGTACCACACCGAGGCTCTGCGGAGGACAGAGAAAACGGCAGTCATCATACAGGGGTGTCGGACACGTAACGGTCACTACGGTATTGACCATACCACTCTTTTTCCCAGCGTATCCCGGGAGTCGATAAAATGCACTGATTTGGGCTCTAAACTTTGGAAAAAAATCAGGAGATCTATCCTAACCCCATGAGTACGTTGTACTTCAGGTGGCTGCCCGTACTACCCTAGAATACCTGTCATAGATACATATGCCACGTGATCTGGCCACACTGAAGACCCGCATAGATACATATGCCACGTGATCTGGCCACACTGAAGACCCGTCCGATGCTATTCTCGTGTCTCAAGCCGAGCGTGTAACGGAGCAGACTCAGGTCAGAACAGCCACCTAGCAATACGCGTCAAATTGCGTAGCACAGTGAAAGCTGCCTGAACCGACGGCTCCGGGGGGCCTAACAAAGGTGGTCCCCTCGGGAGAGAGGGCACACACAGGACAGCAGGGCCAGTGACACTGCTAAGTGCAAACACGCATTGGTCTAGGCGTATACATGTTTGACTATACTTATACGCAGTTACTAATCTCTTACCCAGATGTCAACTTCTGGCCCATAGTATGGAGTGCCGGAGAAAAGCTCAGGCGCTGCATACGGCGGACTTCCGCACCAAGTCTTCAGCTTCTCCTTGCCGTCGTAGTGATTGCTGAATCCAAAATCTGCACGTGGTGGCAAGCAGGAAACATAGAGGTACGGTTGCGTTACATGCACCATCTGCTATGCAAAGGACTGCTCATTGTAGATCTGCACGCTAGTGGAACCTGTTGCTATGACTGGTCCACCTTTTAGGGGTGCACCTAGAAATACACTGTATACTTGAAGCAGTTTGAAATTGAAGTTCCAGTGTACAGGTACAGTCGAATGTCACTTATCCGGTCGCCAGTTATCCGAGCACGTCGGTTATCCGACAAGCCCGGGAGTGGTAATTTTATGACTCTCAACAGTAAAATTCTTAATTTTTTTTGTATACGGGTATTATACAGTGTAATATGCATTTACTTGAAGTAGATGTGGTCAAGTATGGTAACATGTTATACGTCTGCAGCGAGCTGCAAGTACAAGTGGAGTTTTCAGACTGGTACTAAGGTCTAACAGGCACTGCAGTGTGATCTGTTGGACGTTTTGTCCAACATGTACATACTAGCACACCGGTGATGTTCTATGCAGAGAGAAGGTCGAAAGAGTTTAGGGGGTACCCCATGCCCCTGTGTCTAATTGTCAGTTTTAACCTGATAGTGGCAGTGACAAAGCACTGTTGCTATTATCAGGGATGACATTTTAACACTGATCTCCCGAATACGTGTACAAGGATCTGTAGTACTCACCAGCAAGCTTGACATTGAGCTGCTCATCAAGAAGTACATTCTCTGCCTGCACAGTATCACAAACAGCCACCAATAACCAAAACTGCGCAGGGGAATAGAGAAGACGTTCTGCACTAGCTTGGCCTATGTACCTTCGCGTAGCGTAGTTAAAACCCTCCTGTAAAGGAAATGGTTGTAGGCTTCTCCCCCTGGCCCCGGTCACTCAACAACGCACCATTCCGTTAGCTTCCATACTAGTATTCACTTCAATAATAAACGGCGAGGGCACAGGAGGAGAAAGACGAAAAGACTAGACAGAAAACGACGACGGGAAAGACTCCCGGGAAAAGACTCAGTCCAGACTCCAAGAAAACAACAACGAACAAGCAGTAATAAACCGACGACAAATCGAGACGACCAATCAGGGACGAATACGTACAGAACACATGACCAAGACCAAGACAACCAGACCACGGACGAATTACACATGACTCTCATTCCCAGACCAAACTAGCACTGCGCATGTACAGCATTCACTTGACAGTCACTGTCACACAGACGGAAGCACATCCTCACACTCTGACAACGCGTACTCTTGCATGCACCACATACCATAAACGTCACACATCACACCATACTCGCGCGTACACTTAGACCATATATGACATCAGACACTGGACTCCACAAGACAAGAACCAAATACAACGACATGCGTAAATCATAGTTGTAATACAAATAATTCGTCACACTCCGGTGCGTGATTGAGCATGCGCTGTGCGATGGGCAAGATAGCGTCGATCCAAACTTGAGTTTTTTTCAAATGCAACACCACTACCTTCTCTATAACTATCGATATGCCAGCTACCAAACGGTTGTCGCAAAAATGTCAGCCTTCCCTGAAACGAACATCGTTCACTTCGTACTCAGACCTCTTCCCCATCCTCCGAAATGAAAACAACTTGCTATTCTAAACGACGAAAATCACATGCATGAACAAGTATATGAACAGTATCGGTCGACTTGAGATTTTGGCTCACATCCCTCAACCTACCCCACCTCAAATGAAAAATGTTCGTTTTAGGGACAACAAAAACACTTTAGCGATGACCAATACGGGGCCTAGGGACGTCTGTTCACAAAATCAACAAGCCCCGATATGCACGAGACCGGCTCTGGGATCACTTTCTCCAAGCAAAGAACATGCACCAGTGGTTGGAGTTCATCGGCCAACCCGGTGGATAAGAAGCAAAAACAAGTGTATTGTTGGTGTGTGGGATCACTGCCGGCATTACCTTGATGTCTCGATGCACGATGCCCATATCATGTAGGTGTTGAACAGCGATTGCTAATTGGTGGAACTTTTTACCAGCTTCTTGCTCCGGCAAGCGTCCCCTTGTGACAATAAAATCTGCAACAGAGAAAAGGAAACATGCAGTAATAGGCACAGCGCAACGATGTTTGACAAAGTTGACTGAAAGCAAATTAAGCCTCTCCTCAACAAAAATTGAACACTTTTCAGTGGTTATTAGGGCATAGCTCAATAGATCGATTGCGCATTGCCAAATATGGAATGTATGAGTAATGCTTGTGAGTTCGTTGGGATCAGGAATGCACTGTTCAACATCCCAGACGACCATGCCCAGGTGGCTGTGAAGGGTGCTTATGGTACAAATTACGTCATTGCGCAATGGGTACATCCTCAAAAGGGCGGATTTTCAACCATTTTGTGCACTATCAAAATTCATAATGTTACGAGAATGACATCATTGCATAGGCATAGCATGGAGCGGCAACCAACGTGCCATAAAAAATTAGTTGACGCTTCGTTCATAGGTGTCAACTAATTCGGTCTCGTTCATAACGTAATATTCTGCGTACGCGAATATTCACATATCTCCTGGGATCCGAGGTGTGCATTCGAATCTATTCCATGGCCTGAACCTGTACGAAATGTGCCACCGGGGAACATGTGGGATGTGCTGGCGCCATTGCACGGACGTCGGAATCATGCGTACTAGGACCATTGGCAGGTCACACAGAACTAAACTGTCCAACCAGGTCACACAGAACAAAACTATGCAACCAGGTCGCACAGAACTAAACTGTCCAACCAGGTCACACAGAACTAAACTGTCCAACCAGGTCACACAGAACAAAACTATGCAACCAGGTCGCACAGAACTAAACTGTCCAACCGGGTCACATAGAACTAAACTGTCCAACCGGGTCACATAGAACTAAACTGTCCAACCGGGTCACATAGAACTTAATGCAACAGATTAGATATGGGTAGCATTTTACCATTCTCGCTAACTTCGACCGTCGGCCTGTACCGTTTGTGTGTGTGTGTGTGTGTGTGTGTGTGTGTGTGTGTGTGTGTGTGTGTGTGTGTGTGTGTGTGTGTGTGTGTGTGTGTGTGTGTGTGTTTTCAACACATGGTTAGCATTTCGGTTTCTGTCGCAACGATCGACTTGTGACGTCACCCGAGGTGGAATCTTACCGTTTCGTTCTCCTGCTAAATAGAGCTTTCTATCGTCGAAACGATACCAAGCCGACGGTATTTTGGGTGCTGGGCACGAGAACTGTTGGATTTAGCGTGAACGGTAAAATGCTAACAAGATTTATTGAAATAGTGGTAGCGACTTTGGCGATGATCGTTTGGAAATGTGGGCAGCAAACCCTTTCCATGTATTTTGATGCATTTTATAACGTCTCCCAGTATGCTCCGTACAAGGTATGGTGCAAAGTACACAGAAGTCTGCATAGGTGAGCTGGTGACCTGTTTTTTGTTTGTTTGTTAGCATCCATTTCCTGGAAGAGGGTAACCAGCAGCAGGCAGTGCACTGACTGTCTTTGTCACACTAGCGCCTCCATACAGTCATGTATCTACTGTGCCGCTTGTATAACGATATTCGCTCAAAACCAGTCGGGCAATGACACCGCTACGAGTTTTCACAGTATATTCATTGTACACGTGTGTCGACATGATAACGCCAACCCAAGCGACCAAGTAAGTCGAGGTGGTCACCTTGGCTATTGAGTGGTGCTGCCGGTCAGGCGAACGCTTCAGCGGGCATGACAGGCAACGGAGCGAGCGCTGAACGACCGCTAGCGCTACGACTGACGGTGACACCTCCATGGAGTTTTTGCGCTCGACACTTGCACTGCAGTCACAAACATGGGGCCTACTCAGGTCAGCGGCCATCAATGACCACACGATTGTCTGACGAGTTGACGCAGACCAGGTGACCTCAGGCGACCACACAGACGCGAGCGAACACCAGCACTCGCTCCCAAATCAATAAACTTTACGCACATGAAAACTCGACAGCCTAACTATTACTTATTGGCATAAGTCGGTTATTTTCTTCGTATGGTTTAATAGCTGGATGAACACACGCACGAGGTATCCTATCCAGCTGTACACGACTCACCAAATATCTCTCCTCCGCTTGCATATTCTGTCACTAGGTACATATACCGCTTGTCCTCAATGACCTGCAGCAGTGCAGGGGAAACGGGTTGGCAATCAAATACACGCCAATGGGCAATGTCGACATCACGGCCGAATCGAATCTAGAGTATACATGCTGATCACAGGATAAGGAGCTCAACTACTGCATGCAGGGTCCGTCAAAAATCCCTGCGGAGACTCGTAGGAAACACAACCCGGTCCTTCCCCCCTTGAGGTAGGCGAGAGCGCGTACTGACGCACATTACGACAAAGTAAATTACTACAGTATTCGCGAGAATGAAATTCAAGTTAGTGTCCTCCACACAACTTGCAGAACTAAAGCGTACAACAATGACGGCAGGGCAAGGGCACACCAGGACATCGCGATGGTGGAAAGGAGCCGCGATAGGACACGACCACGGCACGCCACAAGGCACTGAGGCAGGCCTGGGGTGATTTCTGCACGTCAAATACGGTCAATGCTGAATGGAGCAGCACCTCGAAATGGCTCGTGACATACATTGTACTTACTAGTAAATTATTTAGAACACACTGTGATGTGCAGTTACAATTGGCCCACCTGATACAATCGCACGATGTTCCGGTGGACGACCTTCTTCATGATTTCAATCTCGCGGCGAAGCTTGAGCACGTTCTCCTTCGCATTGACCTTGGTTAGAGCTTCCTTGTCAATGGCCTTTATTGCAACCTGTGCAAAAACAACATCAACAACAACAACATGAGCACTCAGTAGCCTGCGAAGAGCAACCCGCCGACATACGAGCATCAGCTTCTCCATTCAAACCGATCCAGCTGACCAAGACACAATGTTGACTATGCACCAGCAATGAAAACCACGGCTCTTGCTGAAATTTGAAATAGCGAACAGCAACAACAGTATTGTTGTTGCTTCATCATTTTACACATAGAATTACTATGGGCACCTGGAGTTGAATGGTCAGGTTGCTGGTTTCTTCAGCGAGACAGTCAGCTACGAACAATTATTTTGATCTTTGACTTGATCACGCCACAAGTTCACAAGACCTCTTCGCTATCCTAAACACACACGCACATTCACCGTAAATCTCTGCACCGCGAATGTAGTATTGTAGATGGTGCGGTTACAATAATAAAATTATTTCTATCATAAATGCGCTTGCGCTGGCTTTACCTTAGCCTAGTTTAGCTAGCCAAAGCGGTCTCCAGACAGACCCAAGAACTAGATCTAGAGGACGGTCAGACGGACAATGATGTTCCGCACATCACACTGCTCATGACGCATTAGGGCATCACACAGACTCAGTTGGGTGCAAGGGGGCAAAATGCTTTACACAAAGACCGACCGCTGAGAATGGACACTTAGTCTTTGGGCCACAACAGTGATACCAACGAAGTAGGCATCCTCACCACATCCTTAGTAATCGTATGCGTGCCTTTGAAGACATTGGCAAAGTTCCCCGATCCAATCTTCTTGTCAACAGTGTAGAAGCGAATCGACGTTCCCTTGGTTGGTGGATGGGTCGATGCCTTGATGGACTTCTGATCTTCTCGCTCGGTCGTGGCTGGATCCACTTTGCCGTTCTCTACACCCTCCATGGTCATTGCTACAGTGGGCTCAGTCGGCTCAGTCCTCGACAAGTTCATTACAAAAGCAACCAAGCTAAAAACTCACGAGGTATGCATGGCAGACAGGGAAGAGAGTGACGAGCCCCAAACACGCAGCTCGCTACTCGCACAAGTACAATCGATCAAGTGCGCGCTGAGCGTAGAACTTAGAAGCAACAGGACAGCAGAGCGCGCTGGTAGCAGACTGAATAGCAGCAACAGTCAGTCGACAGTAGCGGCAGCATCAACTGCTCACGAAGCGCTTTCCTCTGCAGACTGATTGCCTGGCAATGTTGGCCAATGCTCAGTCACAACCACCGCACAAGCTAGGCACACTCTCTAATACTTGGAAAACTCAAGTGCTTGTCGAATGTCGTGCACGCGTGCCGGGTCAGCGCGATCCAAGCGGCAAGCGCATAGACTGGCTAAGACTGCTGTGTCTGCGTGAACAGTCTACTTTTTTAGTCGGCGATTGGTCAAACCATGCTAGAGACAGCCTCAATGTGAGCCGTGTTCCAAGACCAGTGACGACCCTATTCCCCAAAACAACTGCGCGACTACTGAAGCAGTGATGGATCTTCTTCTACGCCTCTATCCACCGCTTTGTTTTAGTTTTTTACTCGTAGATCGACGAAGGTCCTGGCTAGCTGCACGCAATCTGGGATGCACGGGACAAACACAACCACGCTGATTTGATCGATGGAAAAATATTTCCTGACGGCAGTGACGCTGATCTACTGAGTCTACGTCACGTGTAGTCTGTGCGTAGTTATCTAGATGTACGACAACTGTACTAAGTTAGTAAGTGCAAAGGCTCTTTGTGGACGTCAGAGACTCAGACAACGCGTCGACAATATACGCACGTGACCAGCAGGGCTACACTGACTGTGATCACGTGATCTAGTATTACTAGCCATGTACATGATTGTACAATGACGTAGGCTACGTGATGCTGATCGTCAGTGACAGTGAATGTGATCGAGGGTCAGCTAAGACTACATTGTAGTACATGTACGTAAGTCGTAATTAAGGGACCATCGCAAAAGTTCGCAGAAGCCCCCGAAACGAAGACCGTTAGTTTCGGGCCTGACACTCCCCCCTCAAACGAAACGACAGTCACAATATGGCATTATGGGCTTCATTATTTCACTTGGATGCTCACACATAATAATTATTATAATAATACTAAAAATTCGACGAGGAGACAATAATTTTAATATGGCAATAAGTAGGACGAGCTGAAGCGACATGTGGACTACTTTATTAACAATGTAAGCGATGGAGACGATGCAAGAAACAACCTAAAGGTTAAGGAAAAATACATGTAAGAAGAAAAAGGGCAATGGAAAAAAAAAAGATGATTCGAACAAGTTTTCGTACAACACTCTTCAGGAATCACCGTTGTACTAAAGAACAAAATGAGAACAAAGGAAATAATATAGCAATCAAGGTAGGGTGACACGATACAATGACAGCACTGGAATATCGAGGTGCGATTTCTCACAAAAGTGTGCAGAAAACAAGGGTATACAAGTAAGAACTAAGCGTGACAAGTGTGTATCAGCAACAAAAACAAAAAAGAGAGAACGAATGATAATAATAACAATAATAAACAAGAAGGTGACAAAACACATTTAGGCACAAGTGGCAACAACGTTGCCACACTACACAACAGAACATTATTTGAACAATTTTAGGGTAATAACACTATCTTTCTGGACACACAAATTCGGCTTATGAATGCGCTGACAAACAGCTTCCAAAACTTGTAACTGCAAAAGATAACCATGACGAGCACGGCACAAAACAGAAAAACAGGAATCAGAATAAGTACGACAACAGTCAGTACTAGAAACCAAAATTAATGATTGTATACTGAAAACTTGTTATTACGAGACGGACGCACACAATCTCGACTCACGCGCACACCCTCACACTCACTCTCACCCTCACTCAGCTCACCTTCTCCCTCACTGTCCGAATCAGAACCTGCTCCGTCATCCACCGCGGTTTGACGCTCCCCCTCACTTGCATCGTCCTGCGTCTCACCTTCACCACCCACGCCAACCGTGAATGCCGTTGCCTTCACGTCAGTCGTCGTCCTTTCCGATTGTTTCCTTTGTATTTTTACCGTGAATTCATTGGTCCGGTTGTAATCTACTGTAGATCTCCGTGGTCTGTCATTTGCTGCTTTGTTTTGTGGATTAGTTGTTGTTGTTGTTGGATGTGAACCTGGTGTTGTTGTTGGATGTGAAGCTGGTGTTGTTGTTGCAGCCATGGTTTTTTTCTTTAGTACAACGGTGATTCCTGAAGAGTGTTGTACGAAAACTTGTTCGAATCATCTTTTTTTTTTTCCATTGCCCTTTTTCTTCTTACATGTATTTTTCCTTAACCTTTAGGTTGTTTCTTGCATCGTCTCCATCGCTTACATTGTTAATAAAGTAGTCCACATGTCGCTTCAGCTCGTCCTACTTATTGCCATATTATAATATACTACACAAGCATTGTTGTATCAGTGTGTAACAATGTACAGCACTTTATAAATGCAACGATGATATCACCTTGCAGTGGGTGATCTAAGAACGAGAACAGCTAGAGCTATGCAGTTGTATCCTTTGAGCATGCTAATCTATATCAGCTCCTACATGTCGTCAATACTTTTTTGAATTGAAGCCCGGTTTGCGATTTTCGACACCGACTCCCTCCCCCCCCCCCCCCCCCCGTATGCTCTTCGTTTCAGGGGCTTCTGCGAACTTTTGCGATGGTCCCTAAGTAAGACTTAGCTTCGCAGGTAGCTAGATCTACGGCGCGCGGTACCAGGTCCAGGAGTAGCTAGGCATACTAATAACGTTATATAGGCCACCCAGAATTAATTCGTTGTTTCGGGTCACCCGACCGACCGTCTTTTTTTCACCCGACCGCAAAATGTTTTTTTTATAGTGCATGCAAATGTACATGACTAGACTACCGGTATGTACGTAATGTACACACGCGCCTAATAATAGCAGTCCAGCCATCGACCTCAGAAGTAGCCAAATAAAATAACAGGATGAAGCGCTTGGTGACGATGTTGTCTTCCGATCAGCAATCGGTCCTGAAACAGCATCAGCTCCGCTACCGCGTCGCTCTTTGACAGACGTTTTCAAGGTGAGAGCTGCTCCTCAGACTCGTTTGCCAGCGAGGCCAAGGTCTGGTCCTGGAGGGGACCTGGGTCTGATGGGACAATGATCGACTGGCTTGATGGACAAAAGCTATTCGATATGCATAATTGTACGAGGTGGGCTGGCTTTTTTTAACATGGTTGTAAAATGACGTTTTTTCAGACACTTCTAGACAAGCTACGTCCAAATGAATTGTTGCAAGTGGAAGTGCTATCCTTCATGCCCGTTGTGTCCAAAAATGGGAATGATCCCACTTTGGAAAGTGTCTTGAATCATGTCCCACTTTCACAGTATTCTCAGGATTCAAATAATTGGTGTGTCATTTTTTAACACATTTGTAAAATGGCATCACAAACTGGGATATTCGGTCATCAATGTTCTGAAGTTGATAGATATCACTTCAAGGATTGCTAGTGGATGAAAATTAATCTGTCAACAGAGGAGTGAACTGCATTGTATGCTGCGAAAGCCGTGTTTTTGTATTTGTAACTAGTGGCTGTGTTATACGGTGGAATTGGATAGATAGCATAGCATCGCAGCGATGTTTTCGTCCTCACAGAGTGCATTCCGTGACCTACTGTTCTTCATTACTGTCTCTAGTGATGGCAAGACGGCCTGACGTCGTCCAAAGGCCCTGCGGAAGCAATTCACTGCCCTCCTCGTCCATTTAGGGGCACATTCTACACATTTTACACAAAATGGCAAAGCACCCACCACTAGTTATACCAACGTGGCAGGGAGAATTAAATTATATGCACCAAATTTTCTGGTCAATGTTGATCTACAATAAACTGGCTCCCATTTGCCACCACCCATGTTTCGATACAGCCATCCGGAGCAGAGAAACAGCCAGAAGAAAAGCAAATTTTACACATTTGTTAAAAAATGCCAAATGTTAAAAAAATGCCAGATCACCTCGTACAGTCATGTACAGTGTACATGTACATAATACATGGCAGTAACCAAATAAAAAAATATAAAAAATAAACCCGACCGGGCCGACCGACCCTGGTACGGATGAGTGAAGTGAGTCCTAGGCCCCAGCGGCAGATGCTAGCTAAATGTTGCCAAGATGCTTTTTGGGATGCTAGCTGACAACTCAGAAAGATGCTAGTTTGGATGCTAGACAACACGAATTATGCTACCTATTAATGGTAATGGTGAAACATTTGGGTTGAAAACGGTGTTCCGTGCTATTTATGAATTCTCACAAAGCAGGTATGTAAAAAGAGTTTTTAAAGGTGCGATGTTGGCATCATGTTGCTATGGAAATATTTGCAGTACAAAAGAGCAAATACCAAGAAGTACCAATGGCAATGTGGGTCTTGGTCACAACTACATGTACATGTAGGTAATGCAAACAAATTGAATGTAGTGCATGCAATTATCAATGTGGTAGTACCGTAATACTAGTTTCATAGTGTAATCTAGACCGAATTCCACATCCAGAATGCCAAAATTGGCAAAAATGTATCGGATGCCGGTAAAAACTGCTGTTTATGCTAGCATCGTGTGGAGTCACAAAAAGGCCCTTTTATGCTACTTTGGGTGCTAGCATTTGCCGCTGGGGCCTAGAAGTGACCCGAAACAACGAATTAATTCTAGGTCGCCTTATTATTATTATTATTATTATTATTATTATTATACTAGTACTACTACTAGGCGGATAATCAGTCTCAGATAGGCCTCGACCAAAATGCTTGCGCATATTTCCGCATTTTTTTGTGAGACAGTTCATTATGGCATATTGCGCGACAAATGGAATATTGGAATGAAGCCAGCATATAATTCAAATATTCTGAAGAAAGGCAGGACAAAACATTCATATTAATTTATGGACAAAATGCGTTCAGAAATGCCTTTTATGGATGAATTTGGAATGGTTGAGGCGTTTGCTACATTTCCCCATGGATGAAAACTATCGCTACGGTTGCTGGGGACACACCCCTGCCATACTATTCCGCATGTGTTTTGATTTGCACCATATGCATGATAGCCGTGAAGCCAATGAATATTCCAAGGTTGTAATTTTACTGAAATGATCGACACTTTCTGCTTATGTCGAGCATATTTTGGCATATCTTTTTGCATATCTTGCTAAGCCTTTGGCATATCGTGAACGTTTTCCCTGATATGCGACGAGCATAATATGATGCTCTTTTTTTAGCATATTTGCCTCTCAGACATGATAATGCCGGCAGAAAAATTGGCAGAATTCGGTACTTTTCTGGTAAGTTTCATGCATGTTTGGTATGTGGATAAAGAAATGGAGCAGAATTCGAGGAATTGCCCGCCATAAGGTTTGTATGGTTCTGCCAATTTCACTGCTTCACTGCAGAGTCTGCCACCTTTTCGAGCAGAATCCGCACACCCCTATCCAGGAGGCAGGATCTACAATCATTCTACAAAATGATCAGAATTACCGGTATACCGTAGTGGC